TATTGAAACGGACTCTTATGATACTCGAGTCTAATTTGAAACTACTTTTTGTAGTAAGACGGACTGTATTTAAAGTAGTAAAAAGGTGAAGTTACAGCCCATTTGTACTCACTGCGGGACAGTGCAGAAAAAATGGGTTGTCCTCTTAGTTCTGAGAGGCTTATGGAGCTATTAGTACATACGCCGCGCTGACTAGAGCGGCATGTTAACGAAAATCACATATCCTCGAATATATATATGTGGTATATCAGTTCTTCAATTTGCAATTACAATTTCATTGGATCGAACTCAGTGTAGCGTGAAATATATGTCAAGCGCTTAGCTCCTGAGTTATCACGTCTGTTTAAAGTAGTTAGTAGAGTTGTTATATTTGCTAGTTTTATCATCATTTACTTTAATACTGAACACAGGCCCTCCGTAAAGCCAAATCACTCCATCTAAAAAAGGGATCGCTGTACGAGACTGCTTCTCGAGAATATTTATTTTCCATTAGTTGTCGGTTCTTCGATATTTTCGCATCTATCATACTTAAACTCCGAGTGTAGCGTGGTTGTTGTTGGTGGTGGTTTCGTTTTGATCCATTTTAACCGACTTCAAAAAGGAGGAGGTTCTCAATTTGGGTATTGTTTTTTTTTTGCATGTATGTTACGAGATATATTCGCAGATTGTGAACCGATTTTGATGATTCTTTCTTTATTAAATAAGTTATACTTCAAGGGTAGTCTCATATAAAATTGGGAAAAAAGTCACCCCTAAGGGTAGCAAATAAATAATTTCTATTTTAGCAATTTTTTTTATAGGAGAGGGGGCAAACGAGCCTGATGGTAAGTGACTACCGACGCCTATGAACAACTGCAACACCAAGACAATTGCAGGTACTTTGCCGGCCTCTTAAAAAAGAGTAACCTCTTTTCTTGAAGGTGTTTTTAAGCTCTTTTCGAAAAGGTTTTTGTTAAAAGTTATAATTATCGGTTAGCGTTTCTTGTAACTCCCTAACTAAAGTTTTTTCATTCATTCATTACAGCCCTACAAGTGCACTGTTGAATGTAGGCTTCACTCAAGGAACACCACAAAGTACGGTCCTGAGTTTATCGTCATCTATCGACTTCCTGCATATAAAAAAAAATTAATATAACGACGATTTAATTTAAATAGTTTTATTAAATATACGCTATCTCTGTAAAGCCATTTAAAAAAAATGCAAATCTGCTCTCAGTTCTATTGATTTGCTAATTTCTTTTGGTAGTAAGTGAATAAGCTCTTATCTTAGTACGCTGAACAACTTTAACTTTTCTGTTAAGTTAAGGACCACGTTTAGGTCTTACAAGTCACTGGCGAGGAACAATGCTGTGTAAATTTTTGTTATAAGGTCGGTGTCGAGAAATACCGGAATAGAACATGTGTTATTTGCCGAATGTTCTGCAGTCGAGTTTATTCCGTCGAGTGACCACTTGATAGAAATTTGTTTTATCCACGCGGACATTTTATTCTAAGTAAATATACTCGTCACCAACTTCGAGAGTTCCTAACAACTATTGTTAAAGTTATCTATTGGTAGGCACTTTATCTTGTCCATTTATGTTTAGAGACTGACCACACTTTCTGCTCCGTACTGGAAGTTTCCAAGTTTGCTTGGGAGACGATACGTAAAGAATTTCCAAAATAGCATGTAAACGCGGCTCAGAAGGGAAATTGGTCTGTAGTTCTTCAACACAGAATAATTGCTTCTTTTAAAGGATAGGATCACCACATTTCTGTTTCACGCTTGCAGCGTAGTACCGTCCCGAAGGAAGGAATTAAATAGCTTTTGAAGGTCTTTCTACCCTTTTAATATTCTTTTATAGAATCTCTGTTGTAATTTTTTTGCAGGGTTTTAAGATGCAGGATAGCCACTACTGTAATCACGCCCAGACGGACGTCCGTTACACATACTGACACCGTATGTATGACATACAAGATGACAAGTAAGTGCTTGGTATGCTCCCAATTATTGAGCTGACAGATTTGTCTCGCATGTAATTCTGGCTTAACCGGATAAATAGCTGTTAATTTTATTGAATGTAAATGTTAGATTTATAATCAACGAGCTGCTCCCCGCGGCTTCGCCCGCGTGGAGTTTATTACGATTTGTTAAGATATATTTTAATATTTTTGCGCGGAACCCTGATTATTTTTCTAATATAAGAGTTACTTCTTATAACATCAGCTATAATATGTTAGTCGAAAATAATATTATAGGGCACGCGTTGAGACACAACCATCGGCAATAGCAAAGAGTATAGTAATATATAAGGAAGGGTAATAGCCCGCCCGCGCGGGCACGATATTACTGGGGCCAAGGAAAATTAAATATCTAATAATTACTACCATCTAATATAAAAAAAAAATTGTATTCTCGTATTTTATACGCTGCCATACCATTCATCAGATTGCGCTAAAATTTGGTCAAGTTATTACTTGCACTTGCGCGAAGGTTATAGACATAGTACAATTATAGTTCGATTTTATATACTCTGTGTTAAGCTGACTGACACTGGTGTGCCTATCGATGTAGTAAACATCTTTAAGTACTGGTTCGGTCATCAGAATAACCAGGTCAAGTGGCTTGGAGAGTTACCTGATGAAAATAAGTTGAAATGTGGGGTGAGGCAGGGTGGTTTGACTTCCCTCTTACTTTTCAGCCTGTACATTAACTAGCTGATAGTGGAACTCAGCAGCACACGACTCGGTTGTTCTCTAGACGGACACTGTGTCAAAAGCATCAGTTGCGCTGACGATATGGTGCTGCTGAGTTCCTCTTTCGCTGTTCTCAGAAAATTAATTTTAATTTGTGAGCAGTTTGCGGAACCACATGGCCTTATTTATAATGTAAGGAAGAGCGAGCTTAAGGTGATAAAGAGACGTTAAGTGACTTGTGTTCCACCAATAAATTTATATGGGGTGGCTCTTGCGAGGGTGTCGTCCTTCAAGTACCTTGACCACACAGTTACCGAGGACTTGATGGATGAAAGTGATATTAAAAGAGAAAAGAGAGCGATGGCATTCCGCTGCAACATTTTGACCCACAGATTTGCTCAGAGTAACGCAAAAGTTAAAATAATGCTGTTTAAAGCCTTCTGCCAAACAATGTACACGTGTAATCAGTGGGTTACATATACGACTCAGTGTCGATAGGGACTGTATGTCGACTCAATTCTTGAAGAGCTGAAATGCAGAGTTTTGGCGAAAGACAATCGCACTGCTTGACTCATATATTGATACTGGAGGATGGTCCGATTCCATGGATAATGATTTACATAACTATATATTTTTTGTAAATAAAATATTCATGTTTTCATTTTATTATTGTACTCGTACTTGGCTTGTTTAAGGTCTTGCTTTCATTAAGTAACTCATTTAACGAATTTTAAGACATTTTAAGTGAAAATTGAATGTAACAGGAAAGTCATCATAATAAAGTGTAACCCAGTACTAGTCCCTTTGCACACCAGTAAGGTAATGCTAAGATATAACGAGGTATAGAGTAGTACGTTCTGTGCATAATGCTATTAGACAAGATACATTCCATAAAATGAGCTGTTATTATTACATTTCAGTTACGTAAAGTATTTGCACGTACATACACATCCGCAGGCTCGCATATTAGAAACCCGTCATTCTCTATATGTAACTTTTTGTTTTTAGTTAATTTTTGTCTCAACAAAATTTAAGCTAGGTAAATAAAGGAAGGAGTTCTAAGACAAGATATCCTCTTCCAGAATATATTAATTGTTGTGATTGTTGCAAATGAAGATTTTCATTTGAATTTGAATTTGTTACTGGACTATTGAATTTGGTAATAAAATATAAACGACGTAGTCAATCACCTGTACAAATTTTATGCAGTAAAACATAAAACAGTCGTGTTTTAAAGTAGAGAATTGCCTAAATATAGCTTTGGGTCCTGTTAGCAATGTCAATCAGCCTACTGAGATATTAATTACTTGCCTTAATAAATTTAGAAAGGAAGGAATTTCATAACATTTTTATTCAGTTGCCAGGAAATTCTATTTTATTGATTTCGAGGACAGTAATATCTAAAGTTACGGTAAGCTTATCAAAGAACACAGTGAATAAAGCTTTCAGTATTAATCTTCCTGAACTGTTTATTAGATTTATTAATAAGTATTAATACAAACTGTATTCTATTATAAATTTGCCGTTATTGTGAACGCATCCAACAGGCGTAATTGGAGTTTTGATTATATGTATGTACGAATAATTAATTATATGTAACCGATACTTTTCGTAACCTAAATGATAGTTCCATTTGAATATTCGAGAATCGAAATCGAATACATCATTGTTTATCGAAATATTTGCTATAAACATGATTGCAATTAACTATACAATATATACGTGCATGCTTCATTCAAATTCTTATGTAATAAATTGAAAATAATCCTGATTATACGTTACTGTTGATTTGCTGTATTAGTTTCTTTTTATTATTCTGTTGAGTTATAAATATTTCTATATAAGGTACAATTCAAAATTAGCATATATGTTAATGTATAGATAAACAAATATGTTTTAGATAAGAATTATTTGCTGAATATCAAATTGAATGGACCCAATTAGAGTAGATTACGTAATACTCGTATTTTAGTCTATACTAATATAATAAAGATGAGTATTTTGTAAGTTAGTGTGTAGCTATGTCAAGGGTAATCGCCGGAACCACTGGATCTATTAGAAAAATTCTTTCACCATTTGTAAGGTACATTTTTTCAGATGGATATACGAGTAGGCTTTATAAGAATTTCCCTTGTATTGTTGAGACATTTTACACACATAATAACGTATGGACAAGAATACAAAGCCGGCTAAATATTTGCCTTGTGCGGGATACGAACACGCGGTCTGCAGCGTCGCAGCTAAACGCTTATTTTAATAATTTACAAAGACATTACTAACAAGGGTAAGAATATGTGTAAAAAGGAAAAGTAAATCGTACTCACATTGTGTATAATATCCGTAGAAGCGTAAAAGTTCTCGTGCGGGTTAGGTCTCCTCATCATATATGGCCGCGGGAACTCAGTGTCTTCGCAAATTTCTGTTGACAAAATGTAAATTTTAGTAGAAATTTACGCATCAATACATTTTATATATATATATTGGGCAATACCAGTTCATAGGCAAGACTTTTTTTATTCACAGTCGAAAGATGGACCTTTTAAAGGGATAGGGGAAGGAGGAAGGGCGTAAAGATATGTGCATTTATACATTATCTCCGACAGGTAGTACTTAGTATAAACAGAAGTAAGTCGGCATTATTTTTCTGGATGCTAGTGGCGATCAAGCTGTGATGGTTTATGGAATTTACGGCAAGTGCTGTCTTCAAGCTACCAAGGCTTTTGTCTCTTATCAGGTTTATGCTAGAAGCCAAATTTAAAAGTGTCTTTTGCAAGATTATGGACCAATTTACAGTGTGATTTAATCGTCACCATTGTCATCACATGCCTCATCACTTACTAAAAACTCACAGCTGAACAAAGGCCTCCACCATAGATAGCCACATTGGTGAAATATTGGCATTGTCACGCTTGTTTAAAATAATAAGAAGAAAATTCTTCAAAGAAATATCCGTCTTAACGAATTTTAGAAGATTTAATTATTTTCTACTTTAGTTAAATGAGATAATATATTTATTATTTCATTTTAGAATTTAATAATATTTTGGAAAACATATTTATTTTCATATCGATAAGGAAATATAATAAAAAAATATGTTTAAAAATTATTATTCATATCAATTTATAAAATTTTAGAACGATTATTTTCTATCATAACCTATTAACAAAAATACTAGCGACGTTATTATCCTGCACTGAGGGCACACCATCTTTTCAATATGGCCCCTGAACAATGGCCGCCTACCCGGCCGGACTTCCGGCCGCTGTAACGAGCACACCCTATCTTAGAATTTTCTTTACAATGTTATCTAATGTCGGTATTCAATAATTTTAGACGCATTTGGTAAATTTGCGTTAAAATTTCTACGGCGTCTTTTCGTTTGAACTTTCTTTGAATTTTTAAAATGTTTTGTCAACTTTAGAGACCAATTTTTTGAAAACAGCCTTACATTTAAATAAACATAATTATGTACATATACTTGCCAGTTTATTTAACTATATATACGTACAAAGTGTTTTAAGCGTATGGATTAATATTTAAAAATAGTTATACCTAAGTAAAATGATAATAATTGGTGATATTAATTATTAATACTAATGCCGCATTGGAAGTACTGAAATAAGTTCACGTAGTTAAAGTCCGACCCTACCGAATAATAAGAAAAAGAAAAAGAAAGAAAAAAGAAAGAAAAAAAAAAGAAAAAAAAACATTTATTCACGGTCTAATCACAATAGATACAAAACAAAGCAAAAAAATGGAATTAAACAGAAAGTAAAACAATATTTCCCTAAATTAACAAAAATGTAAAAATAATATAAAATGAGTCTGTGTAGCAGCATAAGACCGTGAAATGGACAGGACTCAGTAAAAATCGAGATACAGAAACACGAATTGCTCTGATCCCGACACTGGTTTTCAGTCCGGCCCGCACTCCGAGGTAACTCGGACGGCTGTCTCAGTGCAAATGCTATAATGCGACGCGGAATACATAAAAAAATATGTGTTTTTAAATTTTTATTCACATGAATATGTAATATGTTAATTTTTAGTTACAAATAACTTAACTGTTGCTTGGAGCAATCCAATAAACTAATAATTCTATATTTTATTTCCCACCTAAGTTTCCTGCCTTCCCAAATAAAAAATTAATTAAATAAGCAATTAATTACTCTTTAATTGTAGTTTTATTTGTAACTACAATAATCTATTTAATAACGTGGTAGAGCCAAGCTGCAGCTATATTAATAGTATAGTTGTAGTGCGAATGGGTCGGCTCGACCGGGAAAGGACCACGCTCTCACAAAATACCAGCGTAAAATAGCAGCTTAATGCTGCCGTGTTTCGTATGGTGAGTGTAGAGAAGCGGAGACCCCTTTTTACTGAAAGTAGGCATTCTGTCTTAGTCCTCACGGCTGACAACGCATCTGCATTTTAATTCGCAAACGAAGACAGGTGTAGATGTCTATAGGCCACAGCAACCACTTGCCATCAGGTTGATTGTGTGCTCGTTTGTCACTCTTATTCTATAAAAAATATGCTTGATAACGTACTGGTGGTAAATACTAACACATTATGAATTAAAATGACAAAGTCTAAAAGTAATTTCTGTTCCAGTAAGCAGCTGCATATAACCCAAGGCGGGAAATAAGCTGAGTACGTCATAAAATAAGTTCCGTTGCCTACAAAATGGCGCGATTAGAGCACTCACATCATTAATTAATTTGACTAAGCCGCCGCGCTGTAGCCTGTTACTCCGACCCACCTGCGATATTAATATAATAAAATGAACTTCCCTGTTTTGTTTACGAAGGTAATGCTTGCGTATTAAAAGATGAAACGGGGGAAATAATAAGCACGTTGTATTTTATACTATTTATTTGCTGCACAATGTACAGATTTTTAGGTGGAGGACAGAGTACAGAGTTGGCACGTGGAATGTTAGAGGAGGCATGAGAGATAAGACGAATGAGTTGATCGAAATAATGAAAGAAAGAGAATTAGATGTCGTGTGTATGTCGGAGACCAAACGGAAGGGCAGTGGTACTGAAGAGCTCCCTGGCGGGGCGTTAGCTCTATGGTCCGGAGTCCCGGAGAGCGAGAACGCCTGCCAGGGAGTGGGGGTGCTGTTGTCTTCTCGGTTGGTCGATGTTATGACTGAATATAAGGTTGTGAACTCAAGACTTCTCTGGGTTCGCTTTAAATTGGGACTGACGAAGTTATTCCTTTTGGCTGTTTATGCGCCGGTAGCTTCGTCGTCCAGGGCTGAGCTGGAGGAGTTTTGGGAGAATGTAAGAGAAGTTCTAGATTTGGCTAGGGGAAACGAAAGAATTGTTGTATGTGGTGATTTGAATGGATGGGTTGGTACCGCTCGACCAGGGTACGAGTCGGTACTTAGATAGTTTGGCGATAAAAGGGTTAATGATGCTGGCAAGCTTATACTGCCGGTATGCAAGGAAAAGGGTCTACTTGTGACAAACACTATGTTTAATCACAAGAAAATCCATGTGTATACTAGAGAACGAAAGAATGAGAGAAGTATGATCGATTTGTTCCTGGTGGATGACCGACTGCGAAAACAGGTGATGGATACGCGAGTGTTCAGGGGTGCTGACCTGGGAACGGATCACTATCTAGTGATTACTAGATTTAGGGGTCTGTTCGCGGGTTGGCGCTACCGGACGGCAATAACAGAACCACAGTCGGTCTATCGCATCCGACAAAAATCATCCGAGGGTAGCCGAAAAGCTTGACACCATCGATGGCAGAAAAGAATGTGTAGAAAGAACATGGCAGAACCTTAGAGATGGAATGGTAAGTGCAGCGGAAGAAGTGTGTAGAACAATAAAAAGAGGCAGTAGTAAAAGAAGAGATGCATGGTGGAATGATGAAGTGAAAGAAGCTGTAAAGAAGAAGAAGAAAGCATGGTTAGACTACTTGGCCTCTAGTAATGATAAGGATATGAGAGAAAATATGAAAGAAAGATATAGGCTGCAGAAAGTTCACATGAAAGCATTGATTGAGGAAGTGCGTGAAAGTTGTAGAATGGAAGCGGACGAAAGGTTGTCGCACAACTTTAAGGAGGACTCTAAACTCTCCTGGAAAGAGGTTGGAAGGACCCGAAGTGGTGCGACGGCCTTAAGAATGAACAAAGTGCTTTCGAGAACTAATGGCGTCCTCTCAGAAAAATCGGACGTCATGCAGCGATGGAGAGAATTTTATAGAGAAATGTATGTGTGTGATGATCTTAGTGAGGGATTCGGGGATGACGCCGTGACTGGTACGCCAGACCCGGACCTCGATGACACTGAGGTCATCAGTATGAAAGAGATTGAACGTGCGATTCGAAGTTTGAAATGTGGTAAGGCTGCGGGACTAGACAGAGTTACTGCTGAAATAGTCAAGTATGGTGGGCCTCGCGTCTGGGACAGCTTTCATCTGCTGTGCAATTTGTGCTGGCGGACGGGGGATGTCCCGGATGATTGGCGATCCGCGGTCATTGTGCCTTTATATAGGTTAATTATTGTTAGTTATTATTAAATGTGAACCTTTACCTTTATAAAGGTAAAGGTTCACATTTTGACTGTGGGTGCTATCGGGCGATCATCTTGACCAGTTTAGCAAGTAAAGTTTACTCGAAGGTTTTGACACGTAGGATGCAAGAGAAATCGGAAAGATTTCTATGGGAGGCACAATGCGGATTTAGACCTGGAAGAGGATGCACGGATCAAATGTTTTCTCTTCGCATGATCACGGAAAAGCTTCTGGCTGCTAACCAGAGGATTTTCTGTGCTTTTGTGGATCTTGAGAAAGATTTGATAAGGTTGTAAGGAAGAAAATGTGGGAACTGTTGCCGGGGTATGGTGTGGATGGTCGATTGCTAAGGGCTGTGCAGTTTACTGTGACTGTAAAGCCTGTGTGCGGGTAGGGCATGACCTATCACCCATGTTTAGCATCCAAACGGGCGTAAAACAGAGTTGTGTCATGTCTTCCTGGCTGTTCATACTGTATCTCGACAGCTGTTTACAGAAGCTGAAAGATAGCTGTTTGGGTGTGAAATTGGGTGACATAAAAGTATATTGTCTGCTGTATGCTGATGATGCAGTGCTTATTGCACCATCAGAGGCAGAACTGCAGGCATTAGTCACGTGTATGAAAGATGAATGTGAAATTAAAGGTCTCCGTTTGAATGCTAATAAAACTAAGGTTCTGGTATTTGAAAGGGACGAAGAGTAGAGAACGAAGTGTGAAATATGGGTAAATCAGGAATGTCTAGAACAGGTACATGAAATTGATTACTTGGGGAGTGCTTTTAGCCGGGATGGAAGATATGATTTAGATGTGGACAGGCGTGTCGCTGCCGGGAACAAAGTCTATGGTGCCCTGACTGCGTTAGTCAAAAGGCAAGGTGTAGTGAAGAGTGCTCGCCTTGCAATATATAACGCTGTGTTGGTACCGAGTTTGTTATATGGCAGCGAAACCTCGGTGTGCCAGAAGAAGCATAAAAGCAAATTGAACGCAGTGGAGATGCGATCTCTTCGTAAAATGTGCGGCGTTACCATGGCCGACAGAAAGCGAAACGAAGAGATTCGCAATATGGCAGGTTTGAAAGATGACCTTATCACAAAAATTGATAAGGGCGTGCTTCGGTGGTTTGGGCACGTTGAGCGAATGAGTGAAGACCGAATGGTGAAGAAAATATATAGCGCGAAAGTTAATATTAAAAGGTGTCGAGGTAGACCAAGACTAACTTTCGAAGACCATGTGAGCAAATTGCTCGAAGAGGGTAGGGTCAAGAGTACTCGGATACCTAGACGTGCAAGAAGATAATGAATCTGAAAGAAGCGAAAGAGGTATGTAAGGATCGTGACACTTGGCGATCTGTTCTCTCTGGCTACCCCGTCAGGGATTGTGCGTGAAGATAAGTAAGTAAGTAAGTACAATGTACAGATTTTAAATGATAAGAATCTATTTTGAGGTTTTGATTTAAAAGGGTAGGAGACTCTTTTTTTTTAATTCATTTTATTCATTTGTTTTTCACAAGTAATACTGAACGTAGGCCCCTCCCAAATGCCACATGCGGGATCCTACAACACCTACATCCACCGACTTTTTGCTTATCAGGTCATCACTCCAACTAGTGGGGTGCCGTTCTACATTCCGCTAGCTGGTACGAGGCTGCCATTATAAACTTTCTTCCCTCATCGGCAGTTTTCGTTAAGCTATATTGCCGACCTAATGCCATTTCTTACCTATTTACCTATTTTTATAAAAAAAGATTGAACAAGCTGTAAAACTTGTAAAAACCTATTTTACCATAGTAAAATCACTTGTGAAAGTTATTTCGTTTTTAGTTAATTTTACAATCATGTTTCCATAAACATCATTTATTGAATAATTTGAGAGCGAAGTTTCGATTTAGCTTCGTGACCAACATAAGTGTTTGTTGCAATAAATTCAAGGAAAAGTAACCAACTAGCTTCTAGGTGTAAGTGCGGCGCACTAAAAAACCTAACGAGTGCAGTCGAGTGGTGAGTCAAGTGCTCGAGGCGAGCTAACTAGTGCTAGTTGCAATAACGTGCACTGATCGCAAAGTTGTAGTAGGGGAATAAATAAAAACGAGGATTAAATTGGTTCTCATAATTTGTTGAGTATCTACAAGTCTCCCTAAGCAATTATGTTGTATACAAAATTTACCTGTTTATGTATTTACTTTAAGTACAAAAATACATACGGTATGCGGAGAAGATATTATATATAATCGTTTATCTGTAATATATTTAATTTAAAATGTTTTACAAAAAAATTTAAAACTTTTGCTACTTAAATTTAAAACTGTACTCAAAAATTATTAATTTAGTATACAGCAGCATCGAGCGTTATGTGGCCACATGTTATAGTTAAACCCTTGAAACTTTCATTGGTATGTTCTAGTGTATGTATTATTATGTTCAATAATACCTATGTATTGAACAATAAATTAAAGATATAGTATCTATATCTAGTTAAATTATTATTATTTTTTCGTCTCTTAATTGACGAAATATCACAATTTTAACTATTTTACAGCTTAATGGAACATATCTACTAGCATATTGTCGTTATAATTTTGTAATTAATTTAGTGTTTTTTTTGTTTATCAAACTGAAGTGACAAACGAACTTACAGGCCCACCATGATGGTAAGCGACTACTGCAGTCCATGGACACCTGCTGCCATCTTCAAACAAGGAACGCTACAAATGAGTTGTCACTTTTGTGGACTATGATGTACTGCCTCACAGCCTGTTTTTACCCAGGCTCTCTACACCCTTTATACTGGAACACAGCAGTGCAAGAATTGCAATTCGGCGGCAGAAAGAGGTAGGAGGGTGGTATTTGCCCAGATAGACTTGGAAGAAAACGAATTCTATATATTCTTGGTGGAAGAGTCCTACCAACTAGAGAAGTCTTACCGCCTAGGTTTTATTCAAACTACTAAATAGTGAACTTATGAATTCACTTTGTTTTGGAGCTGAGATCTCACTTTGTTCTGGAGTTGAGATCATTTATCCTTCATTAACTAAATATGAAAATTAATCTATGTTCGTAATTTTAAGGTGAGTTTAAAAAATTATTTATTGCATTACTTTTATATCAATGTTCGGAATTATTTTAATTATAATTATAACTCATTCATTAACAATCAAAAATATAAATAGAACCATCATTGAATCGGGTTGAAATTTATATGAGATCACTGTAAATAAATAATATATTTAGTTTATCGACCAAATTGCCGATATATTGAAAATGGGTCAAATTAAGAGTATCTTTAACCGACGAGCGTGTATGCGTAGGTATATGGATGTGGAGGAAGCGAGACAGGTGTGTCAGGATCGTGCCAAATGGAAGTCCATAATCACTGCCTACCCCTACGGGTGTTAGGCGTGAGTGTTTATGTATTATGTATGTATATTTAAATAATAATAAACTCTATAAGCAAATAGATACTATCTAAATTCGGAGATATGTCGCTGAAAAATTAATTGCAATGTTATATTTAATTTTCTCTTAATATTAGTAATCATTAATAATATATTAATCATTGTTATAATAAAGCACTGAATACAATCAAAATAGGAGGAGATTATTCACTACATGAAATCAAATCTTCAATGAAAAAAAAGTATGCTTGATTGTAATTTTAATTATATTCGAATTAAAATTAATGCACTTCTTGTAGGTATTATAATGAATAAGTTGTTAAAGTACGTTGCAATGTAGCATGTAGGACAAGGGTAGCCCCCCTTTGTTTGTCAGGCAAACAAAAAATAGCCTCCAGTAGTTTGTTCATTTGTGAAGGCATTGTTTACAATTAGGGTCAGGACCAAGGCATTCACATTTTTTACTTAATCATGGTACACTGTATTCCACTGTTTCATCGTTTTTTTTTCCATCAGCGTGATTGCCTGTACTGTATTGAAACAGTGTTTGTATATTTTTCTACAAATCAGAAAAGGTGCACACTCGAACTACAAGTTTTTTTTTATTTATCTTGATTGCCAGTTATTGTTGTTATATAAAATGTTTTGATACATATGTTTAGAGTTTGGTATAAATTAGTATGTGAGGCAGCGCATGTAACACATTTTAGTTACATATTAAAAAATGGAACGAAAATACATTTATAGATAGCTGCTGAATATGAAAATATAGGAAATATTTGATAAGGTAGAGCAGTTTAAAAATATAAAATCGAAGTTATTTTAATACATATATAAAACCACAAACATTCAAATATATATAAAACAGACATACCGTTGTATTCGTTCTGGTCCGAGTTATCACGTTTGTCACGGCGCCCGAGTGTTTCTTTCCATATGTTATAAGGCTCTCTGTAATCTTCGTCAACGACTGCTGGCCTGTGTGCAGATATATTATGTTGAGTACGTAAACTAACATTACTCTGCGATTGCATAATGATTTCATTTGTCTCTATTTTTATGTATGTAAACGCTTGTAAAGTTCATAGAATAGAGTAAAATGTAATTTATATAAGATTAAAAATATTATACAAGTTATTTAACCCATTAACAGTGGTAGAGCCACGCGGCAGCTTTTGCTGTCGCTTGAATGGGCCGACTCGAACCGGCGGGGTACCACGACCTCACAGAATACCAGCGTGAAGTAGAGGTTTACCTCCGCGTTTCGCTTGGTGAGTGCAGGTGGCCGGAAGCCCTTTTTACTGGAAATGAGGCATTCCATCTTAGTCCTCACGGGTGACAACGCATCTGCATCTTGAGTCTTTATTGAGGATAGATGTAGATGTCTATGGGTCACAGTAACCACTTACCATCAGATGGACTGTGTGCTCGTTTGTCACCCTTATCCTATAAAAAAAAAATTCGCTGCACCGTGTACTACATATAGTTCAATGCTATGGTCTTACTATTGTGTCTTAAAATCGGCCAGTGAAAGTGTTAATATAAATCAAGTTGTATGTAATTTCATAAAAGGTCATTTTTAAACTATAGCAATATTATTTCAGTACTAATTGTGTCAAATATTATTTACCGTAACATATGGAGCGGTGGACAGTTTGCTAGCGCTAGAGCGAGCCGTGGAGAGCGTCGATTGTTCCTAGCGTTTGAATTTCCATTTCGTAAAGAAGGGCAAAATGGTTTCTTGAGAATATTTGGGATCCTTCTTCGAATCCGTTTCGTAAGTACAACTGTCGTTGTTGCTATGACGATGCCGCATGTTACCAAAGCACCGCATGCAAAGCCTACGGAGATCCTTAAAGAGGAGTCTCGTTTCTTCCTCGACGATGGAGGTATATCTGTTCGATAATACTCATCCAAAAACTCCACAGAAGCGTTAACGACCGTAGGCTCTGTTGACAAAGAATTAAGAAATTATGTTAAGTTTACTTGGTAAGGTAAGTACTTGATAAGGTAAACGAAGACTAGATAATCTTCGTTTATCTTATGTATCATAACTAAGGTAAATTTTCATAATTAGAAATCATATATATTTCATTACATCTTTAGTCGTAAAACTTTCAATTAAAATTTTTATGTTTTCTGGATTTAGGGTACTTCTACTTTGTACTCTAAAATGAAATTAAGTGAATTGAATTAATTGAAATTTAATTGAAAATGAAATAAAATTAATTAAATTATTAAAAGTAAATGAAATTTATTTTATGGCTTGGATCCATAGGATAGTTTGCTTTAATCGCCTGAACAAAAAATGACTGCCACATCAGATCGTCGACACTTTCTTACCTCGGCATCTATCGAATGCCATAAAACCTGTTTTCATTTTCAGTTACTATACCGTAATCCACAGAAAAATTGAATGATCGAACAAACATTATTAATTTAATTTTCGTTACCCACATCGTAGTTTTACACCATAGAATGAATGTAAAATAAACGCAAGTAGAATTCACAACTAAGATTAGGACAATGAGGAGGAAATGAATAGGTGTCGAGTGCAGGGCTAATTGTCGCTGAACAATGGAATGGGAGCTTGCTCAGACTTAGACGGTTTTGTATCTCCATCAGTTAGTACCCAAACCGAAAGCAATTTAATTCCCGACCACTTCTCGGATTTTCTCGTAACGTTCAGACCAATTCATACAAATTGGACTTATTAGAATGAAGTCAGTTATTCTTATTATATAAGTACTCGTACTTTTTGGAATTAATACATTGTATGGCTAATTGATATATTAAATTATAAAAATTTAAACTTTCATTAATGAAGTTTAAATAAATTATTATATTGTTACATATTAATAATAACTAATAGAATAATTTAAAATTAAAAATTTTGTACAGCCGACTTCAATATAAGCGACTTCAATATAAGTTATTTAAGAATAACTCAATAACCATTGGTCTGACCTTGATCAAATTCATATGGGACCACACGAGAACTATCAGCTTTCATATAAAAAAAAGAATCATCGAAATCGGTTTCCCCAGTACACATAAAAAAAACATACATTCGAATTGAGTACCGTCTCCTTTTTGGAAGTCGGCAGAAAAGAAATTACATTCATGCGTATTATAATAATGTTATGTTTAATGACTTTTTTGGATGAAAGCGGATTTTTTTAAAGATGTTACAAACAAACGTAGTGTTTCCGATGGTAACTGCTAACTGTAGTCCGTTGGACACCTTCAGCGAACTTCAAACAAATAAGACTACAGATGCATTGTTGCCACTTGATATCTGTCCATTTGGTGGATCTTGCGCTGCTGTCTTCGTCAATTTGTATCACGATACTACCATAATATCATTGATGAGCCGTATGTAATTATTTTTTAAGTAACTAAATTCAAAAGATTCATTAAAGTCGATTTGTCCTAGAGTTAATTCTGAAATTTAAGGAAAGTATTTTATACAGCTTAACATATTCTATTTAACTTATTATTAAAGCCAAATATATATATCGCTAAGAAAAGGAAACTTTTATAATAGTGCTTTTGCATAATATTAGAGAAAATCATCAGTGATCAAGGCTGATGACGCAGAAATACCTCGTTGTTTTAAGCACAAAATAGTTTTGCAGAATAAATGTAACCTGTACTTCAGATTTATACGAATAAACTAAAGCATATAAAGCAGAAAATCGTTAATTACAATGAAAACTCGTGACTCTAGATCTAAACCTAAACTGAGATAGGAAAGGATGGCGGAGTGCCAGTGTAATAGTGAAAATAGTCAGTAGGTGCCAAGAGTCATTTAACTCTGTACTAATTTCTAATTACGTTGTAATGGTCTTGTATCTTATGTTAACACACCAACTTGTCGAATTGTATAGAATATTTTGTGAGTTTAGTTAGCGTTATTAACAAAGTGCGCTTAATTAAAGTATAGAAATGAAAAGGAGACTGAAGACTTAAAGGAATTCATATTTTATCGGGCTCGAGTTTGGAAAAGCTTTTTTCTTTCTCGTGATTAACATTTCTTAATTGAGAGTTCCAAGTCCTTTACACGTTTTATTATTGGACTTCTTTTAGTATGTTAATTTATTATTAATTTTTATAATTCAATTAGGGACGTATAATAAAAACAAAAATATAAGTATCATTATCATTATCATTATGTGACAAATCCACCTGAAGATCTTAAAATTAGGAGAACAGTTTAAGAAACAGGAAAAATATTTTATTTAAAATCAAAATATTTAATTATTCGAAATAAAAAAAAATAAAAAGTCATGTGAAAAGTGCATTGATTTCTTCGTAATAAGATTATATTAGTGCAAAATTATTTTAATCTGATATATTTAAATGAGAAAATACTTTCGAGTTCAAGGGAAATCGTGAGTTATTTTATCGATGTAAAAGTGGCGAAGAAAACCGACTTATCGTATACGGAAAAAGTAAGCGGATTTGGATAAGTTTATATTTTGAAGCATTTTCATTTTCAACTATGCAAAAAGTACTTGCAGGTATCTCGAAAAGAGACTAGCAGTTTGGCTTCAGACCGAGTAAGTCGCACGTAATAAAAACGTCAAAGACCAATTGGACGAGCTATTAGCAAGGAGTGGGATGTTACAAGTGGTGTTCCTCGATAACATCGGTGCATCGGGGAGGCACAGACGTACCATAAAGTGTCTTCCTAACTCAACCGAATAAATTAAACTGAGCGATATGATTCCTGTCGTCAGCAGGAAGGCAGGATATAAAGGAGGAAAATGTCCTGTGATTTTTCAAAGGGTTCGGTTTTAGGACCGCTTCTATGGAATATTGGATGTCTGAGTGGTACGTGGAGATCTCCCGAGTGCTGGCATACTCTGATATTCTACGAATATGAACAATGCTTAGATATTCTAATTTTAAAATAGTTTGATGTAAAAACAATACAAATAATTTATGTAATCACACTGGTTTATGACGTTGATGTACTAGTTTAAAATAATACTTCTAAATTTTTGATACAAATTTTCCTTATTCGCAGACTAACAACAGTCTACAAGGTAGAAAAAATTGAATTTTAACTTTAAACTATTAGAATTACATTTAATATAGCAATATGCCTTTTTATTGAATTTCGACTCTTAAGCTGATTTTCAGAGACAGTTTAAACTCAAACCCCACATTTTCAAAATTTGTGGAGTATGGACTATAATCAATATAATAATAATAATAATAATAATATTCCACAACTATCACACAACGCCATCTAGTCCCAAGCTAAGCAGAGCTTGTGTTATGGGTACTAGATAACTGATAAACATACTTATATATTTCTAAATACATAAATATTATAGATAAATTACACCCAATAATAATAATTAATATATTATATTATAGAATTACTACATATATAATTATAGTAAGTGGGCAACTTGAGTTCGATCTCCGCCGCTATTACGAACACTTAATGGTATTTTTTGCTGATCTCGCCGAGAGATGAAAGAAACCATCGTAAAGAAACCTGCGTATTGGAGAAATTATAAAAGAACTAGGGTAATGCGGCGGTCTCGTTTTATTACATAAAAACCCTCGCTCCGGAATTCTTGCAGGAAGTTGCTTTAGTATTACTTAAAACGAACGGTAGATACTTTAAATTATAAAAAAAAATCATTGAATTTTTTAAATGTTATTTTTTATTTTATTCTGAAATTATTATCATTTAATCTTAATGTGTGTAGGTCGTCTCAGAGGGAGTTTCATCGGCCAAATTGAAGATGGCCAAAACTAAGAGTACCCTATAGTAATAAAACTAAGAGTACCATATAGTAACCCTAGCTATATGTATGTGTAGAGCGTATGTAAAAATATAGTATGTGAAAGAAGCGAGTTAGGTGTGTCAGAAACGTGGCAAACGGAAGCCCGTATTCTCTGCCTTCCCCTTTGGACCTCTCAGGAGTTCGTCTATATAGCTACTCTCTTAAGGCTCCAGTACACGTTGGTCGAGCGCGCTTGGCGAGCCCGCTCGGCAGATTTTTGTGGTACCGTTCACACGTTGGCGTGCTTCATTCTGCGTTGGTAGTTAGATGATGATGGACGTTAGTGATCGCGGCCTTATTTTTATGTTGCTCATGTTTGGGGTTCCATATAACTAATTCATTGTGATAAGAATCAATGAACCTAAATATTTTCTCATTAGGCCATGTCGCCATGTTCGTGAAATAATTTTATTAAGCCGTAAAGCGTAACTATGAACTGAACACTCGGCCAACGTGTGATCGCTATTTGCGGCTTGAGCCAAATTTATTTGATTTGTGCACGGAAAACCGACATTATACGGCTTGTCGGCGAGTGTTGGCCGCAAACGCCAAATAATAATGTGTACTGCTACCTTTACATATTTCTGCCGCCAAGTAACAGTTCGTGCACTGCTGTGTTTCGGTCTGAGGCATTTATTCTTTGTTTGGATTTGGTTGCTGGTATACATGGGCTGCAGTATGAGGTGGTCTATAAGTTTGTTTGACTCTTCAATTTTATAAAAAAGTGCAGAAACTATTAGTGAAATTTCAATAAGCATTTAAATGTGTTTGAAACAATTATATTTTTCTTATTATTCAAAAATTTACTGCTTTTAGAAACACAAAGTTTATTAAAATCAAGACCTATTATTTTGAGTCAAAAATGAACTATCGTAATATCCTATTTCGAACAATTCCTAACCTTAAAAGGAATTATAAAATACTTTAGAAACGACTTTGTCGATAAGGTTAACGAAGTGCCAGCCAAGCGGGATGTTTCGAATTTGATTTCGGGCCAAGTCAGACCAACTTGTTCCACGTGTTTAACAAGTCTCGGGCTTCGTGGCTTATGTTTTTAGTTTAACTTTGTTTCTTACTTTATAAGGTGAGTGAAAGTACCAAATTGGTTATAACGGACAGAAACTTTTTATCAAGCGAGAGTA